ATGGACTATTCCTAAAGGTACGTGGTAATGTACCAAACAGTGTTTCTTTGCTGTTCATAAGGTTTTCCCTGGCCAATTCTTTGCGAAGTGGACGGCCTCTTCCTTCTTCCTAGTCTGTCTCAGTTTATAAGCTGGGCTGTTACCTGTGCACCAGGTGCATCTCGCTGGGTTTTAAACACCAGAGGTGAGCCTCAAAACTCACGTCTACATGTCACCACAGTAGGACACACTTGTGGGAGTGAGATCATGGAAATAAGGTGTACGGAACTCTAATGTGGGGATTGGTTAGTGTCTTTCTGCTGGGCTTAAAATGAGCCCTCCTACAGGCAGAAATTTAGCTGTGGTGGTGCAATGCCTAAAGCATTTGACTGCTAACCAGCAGGACAGCAGTTCAAACCCACCAGCTGCTCCACAGAAAGAAGATGGGGCAATCTACTGCTGTAAAGATTTACCACCTCGGAAACCCAGTGGGGGTTGCTATGAGTAAGAATCAACTCGACAGCAGTGAGTTTGGTTTTTTGTTTTTTGTGGAGGTCAGAGAAGGATCTCTCATTGCCATGAGGTGAGAAGAGCCGGAAGTTGAATGGAGTGTCCTTGGGCCCAAGATCCCTGGGCTGGACCTCCTTGGCAAAGCATCAGCAGCAGTATGGCAGAGAGACTAGGACGAGACAGAGTGGTGGACTTGTCAGCCTAGGGAGCAAGAAAACTGAGTGCCTCTGGGCAGGAGGCTTGCTAGTGGAGTGGGGTGCACCCAGATGCACCTATTGGCAGAACTAAAAGAGTTTTTTAACACTTGCCCAAGCAGGTAGAGGCCAGGTCAAGAGGCCAAGGGCCAAAGAGAGGCATGTCTGAGGGCATGGCCAAGGGGAAGCTGTCCTGATTGAAGAATTGTATCCTGAGTATTTCTGAACCTGAATTGTAACCTGTTACTTCCTTAATAAACCCCATAATCATGAGTATTGTCTATGAGTCCTGGGTGGCCATTACAACAAATTATCGAACCCAGAATAGAAGTAGAGGGATGACCGGTGTCAGAGTTGGTAAATAATGGTTGGAGGCCGGCGGTATGTCTGGCTTCATAGGAATAAGCCTTGGGCCGCTGATGGTGATTCTGTCTCTCCCTTGTGAAGTTAAAGAGAAAAACCAAATCCACTGTTGTTGAGACGATTCTCACTCATAGCAGCCCCCACTGGATTTCTCAGGTGGCAAATCTTTTTTTTTTTTTTTTTTTTTT